TTCAGCCTTATTATCTTAAAATGTCAGCAAAATCACCAGCCTGGACTCAAACCAGTGACCTTCGTGCTGTAAGGCGACAGTGCCACTAAGCCACGGTGTCTTAATTTGTATGCTGAAAACAAACAAAGGTCTAAAGGATTTGATGACACATCAGAAAGAAATTATTGACAGAAGTTTTATTTAAGGTTGAACTATCCCTATAAAAACACCAGACAAAGCTGCTATTATGACTAAGGAGGGAAATGGTGGTCAAAAGTGTGGCTATGGAAATTAACAAGGATTATTATGGAAACAAAGATGTTAGCAAAAAGAACATGCCAAACAGAAACAGAGAACAAAGGAGGCACAAAATGCATTTCAAAATAAAAGTCCAGACACATGACAGAAGCTGTGTCCCAAATGGCACACTATACACTATGCACTCATGCACAATGTACTTATGCACTTACACACTCAACAGAATAGTATATGTATGTAGTGGCGTCATTTTAGCGGCTGAATGAGTGCATCATCCGGGTAAGTAAAGTACACTTATTATTTTTAAAGTTTTCAGTGTGAACACTACTTATACTATTTATACTACAAAATGGCGTAGAATAGTGCATAAGTATGTGATTTGGGACACAGCTAGAGAAATATGAGACAGGGGATTCATAAGTCTACAAAATGTCTGTTCATTTAGCACTAAGCTCCTTACCAAGTGTCTTTCTAAATGTCATGTGAACACAGGTTTTCTTTTAAAGTTGTGTGAAAGGTCATCTGATCCACCTTGGTCATTTTATTTGTTTATTTATTTATTTTTGGTTTGTTTCCCTGCTTCCAAGTGACATTTCTACAGCTCTTTGAGCCCTTCAGGACTTTAAACATATGCTAAAGCTCTGAAATGTGTGGTATCACTGTCAACACTTTTTTAAAAACATGATATTTTCATTAAGTATAAAATAATAACAGACACAAAATTATGTAATGAAAATGTGCAAGCCTGGCATATTGCTATTTCTACAATTTAAAACAGAATGGCATTTTAATGTGCCTTTAATGAGAGTCAAATGCAAAAAAAGTCTGAAATTGCTCTTGCTCTAATTGTTAATTTTATTTATTAATTTTATGGGGGTTGTGGATCTGCAAATATATTTTCGATCAGCCGTCTTCTCTTGCTGATAAAGAACAACTATTTCAACCTTGCACATCCGCTCGACTCAGCATGGGTGACAACATTGCAGCTGTTGTTGAGGCCTCAGGATTTTAATGGGCTGCTGAAAAAGCAAGTAAGCAAGTAGTTCAAGAATTATATTAATGCGATAACGACTGTGCAACAAGTGCATTTAAAAGTGTTTTATGTCATTGTAAGATCAGTTACTGTCTGGCCAATATTAATGTGCTGGGCAGTTTTGCATACATTGCAGTAAATCCTTTTATTCGGGATATTTGCTAGCTTATATACCACTTCAATGTGTAATGTCATTGTCCCATAAACTTTTCCTGGTTGTTATCAGGCTATTTCATAACTGTAACACGAGGCAATTCAATCATTACTTAAGTTAAAACAGCTATCATAACATTATTTATCAATATGTGGCACTTTTTGGAATCTCAGAAGCTATGGAAATAAAAAAATGTAAAACAGGAAATACGTTGGGACCACTGTTTTTGTTTACATCCCTCAAAATGATAAGATTCAGTTATGAATTAGAAATTAACACAATATCAATCCAACCCCTCCCTGTGAAATTAATGAATTAAATACACTTCAACATACCTTAGTATATAAAATCAAACAATCTTATGATGAATAAATGTAAAGATTCTCATTAACTTGACCAACTAGTAAAACAATTTAGTAGTACTCGCCTTTTCAAGTTTTATGGGGACTTCTGGGGACTTCTCATAGATGTCATGATTTTTGTACAATATAGACAGTGTATTCTGTCATCTTACTTCAAACCTACCCCTAAATCCAACTCTCACAGAAATCATTTTACATTTTCGACATTTTCATTCTATATTATTTATGAGCTGTTTTCATCATGGGGATCAAAAATGTTCATACAACGATAAAAAGGACTAATATTACAATACTTCACAAAACAAATTACAAATACTCAAATTACTGTAATTAAGTAGTTTATCTAAGAAATTGTAATTTACAAAGTAGTTTTAAAAATGTGTACTTTTCCTTTCCCTTGAGTATATTTTTAATGCAGTATCGGTACTTCATTCCACAATTTTTCTTCAACCTGCAGTCACTACTTTATTTCTTTAAATGGTGATTAGTCACAAATCAGTCATGTGATTCCTTTCCAATCAAATCGCACATATAAAGTAAACTGCATCATACTGAACAACCTGGTGCTTTATAAATGCAGCAAACCTTTTGTTCCAAGATGATGTTCAAAATCTTTACACGCATTGACCCAGAAACTTTTTATAGACTGCATGTGACTGATAAGAAAATGAAGGTTGTCGACTTTATGATGACTGAAATCACCAAACAGCCTTAATCAATCAGTAGATGGAACGAATGAAGACTGGAAGGAAGGGTCGAATGAAATGAGGACCGAACAAGGAATGGAAGGAAGGACTGAACAAAGAAAGGGCAGAACTAATGAAGGAAGGAAAGATCAAATGGATGAAGGAGGGATTCAAGGAAGGACTCAACAAACTAAGCAAGAAAGCAAGGAAGGAATGAATAAAGAACAGGTGAAGGAATGGAGAAATGAAGGAAGAAAGGAATGAAGGAAGGGCTGAACTAATGAAGGAAGGAAGGAGGACTAAATGATTGAAGAAAGGATTCAAGGAAGGACTGAAAAAGGAAGGAAGGAAGGAACGAACACACAAACAAACGGAAGAAGGAATAAAGGAAGGGAGGAACAAAGGAAGGAAGGACCAAATGAATGAAAGAGGGATTCAAGGTAGGACTAAATAAAGTAACTAAGGAAAGGAAGAATCAAATGAACAAAAGAACGAATAAAGGAAGGGAGAAATGAAGGAAGGGAGGAACAAAGGAAGGAACGAAGAAAGGGCCAAACTAATGAAAGAAGAAAGGACCAAATAAATGAAGGAGGGATTCGAGGAAGGACTGAACAAAGTGAGGATGGAAGGAAGGAAAGAAAGAAGGAAGGAAGGAACGAACGAACGAATAAACGGAGGAAAGAACGGGGGAACGAACTGCAGGGGGAATGAATGCAGGAAGGTAGGAATGAAGGAAGAGAGGAATGAAGGAAGGAAGAAATTAAGGAAGGGAGGAACAAAGGAAGGGCCGAACTAATGAAGGAAGGAAGGACCCAAAGAATGAATGAGGGATTCAAGGAAGGACTGAACAAACTAAGTAATGAAGGAAGGAGAGAATGAACTAAGAAAAGAACAAAGGAAGGACCGAACTAATGAAGGAAGGAAGGACCAAATGAATGAAGGAGGGATTTGAGGAAAGAGTAAACAAAGTAAGGTAGGAAGGAAAGAAGGAAGGAAGGAACAAACTGTGGAACAAACGGAGGAATGAACAGAGAAACGAACGCAGGAATGGAGGAACGAAGGAAGGGAGAAATGAAGGAAGGAAGGAACAAATGAATGAAGGAGGGATTCAAGGAAGGACTGAACAAACTGAGTACGTAAGTACGGAAGGAGGGAAGGAATAAACGAATGAAGAAAGGATGAAGGGCTGAACTAATGAAGGAAGGAGCAAATGAATGGAGGGATTTGAGAAAGTGCTGAACAAAGGACAGAATGAAAGAAGGAATGAACGAACAGAAAAACGAACGCAGGGAGGAATGAATGAAGGAACAAATGAAGCAAGGAACAAAAAAGCTAATTAATGAATGAAGAAAGGACAGAACAAACAAACAATGGAAGTAAGGTTGGAAGGAAAGAGCGAATATAGGAAGATCAGTGAATGCGCTACAGAATGTTACGTTTACACATCCCTGCACAAACTGCATGGAAATGCATCAACTTTTTACAGTGTAATACTCACTATTGTTTCCTTTTAAAAGGGCTACTTCCTACTTATACTTGGATTAATATTTACAACAGATACTTTTACTCCACTTACACTTACATTTTTTTAGTACTCTTTCCAATACTGCCCACAATACACATACATGCACACACACACAAATGCTATCAATATGGCTGACACCCTTTCTTTAAATTTGATCCAAAAGAAAACTTCACCAAGTGTTGTTCAATAAAACAGCAGGCCTCAGTGTCAGAGTGAACCTTCAGAAGCAAACAGGTGTCTTCTAGCTGATCTACAGCATGTTCTCTTCCTCTCGTATTTCCTCTGACACTTTTTGTATCTATATGCGACAGGGATCAGGTTGTAAGTTATGTCTGGTATCAGCAGGTTATTCCTGTTCCTAATTCTCTCACTCAATAAGTGAATTAGTAGACATATTTAGACGCTAATTAAATTAACTAAAGCATGTAAAAGACGAACACATCTCTTTGGTCAGTTAAAAACAGCAGAAGTCTTCTGATGATGAGAAAAAATGGTTTTCACACGCTGAAGTGAAAATGTATCGACACTGCTATGAGACCTACTCTTGTACTTGTAAAATATAGGTTGATGAAATATGTAATGATTGCAACAGCCCATTAAACTAGCATAATAGCAAAAAGATAAATCAATACACTGTATTACACTGTGTGAACATGATCCTGGTGGGGTGTTATTGCACCCAAGTATGTATGTGAGGCGTCCCCCGGGAAAATAGCCCATGTGTCTTATGCCTGGAATGGGTGAAGGGGTCAATCAGTGGATCTTTCCTAGCAGCAAATGGTTTTGCTAAACCGCTGACCACTGCAAGGAGACTGTCACACACCCCCAGTGGGACGTAAGTATAACTGCCTTCTGGCTCCTCCTATGGTATCTTAAACGTCTGTGTAAAATCCACCATGAAAAGGAAGTGGATTAATTGCGGTCTTTGAAATCATCATTGGTGTTCTTGGTGCTGCCAAGGTAAGAGACTGTTTGCATATATGAGATGGTTCAACATTTTTTGGGTGCACACTCTGTGTGATCTGACGGCTAAGAATAAAGTCTTGTTCTTTGCTGGCTCAAGAGCCAGTGGTTAAAATCAACAAGGTCTACTGGACGGTCTCCCATGGCATAATTTATGTTGGACATCTTTATAGCTAAGCAGCTTAATGTAAGGCAGACAAGAGCTTCTTAGAATTGGTTGTATCTGTAGAGAATAGTAGCTTTATTATGTTATGTTATGTTATATTATATTATCTTTTGTATATTTTAAATGATTACATGTTGAAGTCTGATGTTTAAATTATGTCTATACATTTATCTTGTTTTCTAAAATTGAGATCAAGTGTGTGTTGTTTGGATTTTGTATATAAAGCTGTCAACTAAGCTAGTTTCTCTCTTTTTCCAGGCATTGCAAAAAAAAAAAAAATCCACAGACATCTGATAATTAAGATCAATGCACTAATCTGCAATCATCAAACATGGCCAAAATGAATAACCTGTGGAATACAGAAGCTTTTACAGACAATGCGTACATATCAAAACGAAGTATTAGGAAGATTCTTATCAGGAAGAGGCATTATCTGCCTGCGGAGAACAAGATTTCTGACCCCAACAATAAAATAAATCCGGTTCTACCTATTGAGAAGAACATTAATGCTTCAACTAGTTGTGTAGAAGAGATAACAGTACAAGAGTTGGGATCTCAAATTTCAAGCACTCAATTCTATATTCCTGCAAAATATTCTGAACAATGCTGTGGAACAGACAGAGAACTGGATGAAAAAGAAATAGAGACTGGGTCTGGATCTGACCCCAGTTCCCAACTGAACCACAAGGACTCAGAACCAACCAGCATCCCCCATGTGAAGGTAAAAGAGGAGGTAGACATCACTAAAGCATGTGGCCTGGCAGGAATTCAGCCAGAGACTGAGGCTGAGGAGGATGAATGCGATGTAGAGGGAAACACAGATGACACACCCAAATCTCCAGAGAATCAGCTTTTAAAAAGTCAATTAATGTTCGCCACCATGAAGAAACGAGGGATGGAGGGAGACACCGAAAATCGGCCATACAAGTGCACCTACTGCAACTGGGCTTTCAAAAAGTCCAGCAACCTGCTCAGCCACATCGATACACACCAAGGACTCAAACCGCATGTTTGTGACCTGTGTGGGAAAGCTTACTCGCACCAGGGGACTCTTCAACAGCACAAGCGGCTGCACACGGGCGAAAGGCCGTACCAGTGCCCTTTTTGTGAAAAAAGCTACATTTGGTCTTCTGATTTCCGCAAACACATCCGAACGCACACCGGAGAGAAACCGTATATCTGTGAGGAATGCGGCAAGGACTTTGTGAGATCTTCTGACTTGCGAAAACACGAGCGCAACATGCACACCAACAACAAGCCGTTTCTCTGCAAGCACTGTGGGAAAACTTTTAACAAACCATTGTCCCTTCACCGTCATGAGCGCACACATTTGGGCGAGAGGCCGTTCATTTGTCCAGACTGCGGGAAGGCGTTTGCATTAGCCAGTCGTATGACAGAGCACAGGAAGATTCACAGCGGCGTACGTCCCTACACCTGCACTGTTTGCTCCAAATCTTTCACCAAGTCCTCCAACCTCGCAGAGCATCTCACAGTCCACAGTGGAGTCCGACCACACAAGTGCTCAGAATGTGGAGTGGCATTCGCCATGGCATCCCGACTGGTGCGGCATCAGCGTATTCATAAAGCAGAGCAGTCCTATCCGTGCCAGGACTGTGATCTGTCATTCAGCCACATCACAGCACTCAAGAAGCATCAGAAGAAGCATACTGAAGGCATGATCTTCGTATGTGGACAGTGCAGTAAATCTTTCCACCAGGAATTCCTTCTCAAAGAACACATGCAGAGCCATGCAGACACTGAGACTTGCATTGCCTAAAACCCATTTTGCACTTAGGTAACTGGAGGAGAGTAAGTAAGCCTAGGTTGTTCTCTTTCTTTCACAATTAAGCCTTAACAACATAGTAACATTCAGCTAGGTATTCAAAGCCATTTGTTAGGACCGTAGCTTTCTTTCTTACGCCTTAATAACAAAGTTACATTTAATTTAGTTTAGATAGGACCTGATAGGACCTTGGCATTTTTTTATTTATTTTATTTATTTTTGTGGTGTAAACGTGCAGAAACTTGTAGGGACCACCTTGGTTGTGAATAAATCTGTGTATATTCTGAACAAAAGAAAACCATAAATAAATGAAAAATACGAAATGTTGTTAACATGTTGGTGACCTATATGTAAAATGTTTAAAGGACAATGTCGACCAAGGCTTGTTGGACAATGCAGAATATCTCAGAAATATTGTGATTTCTTTTAGCAGTACAGTATGATTTACACAGTGCTACTTATTTCAATGAAGAAAATTGGTAAAGAAAATCAGCAGGTGAATATGTGCATTTGTATCTTGAGACTTAAGGGTTGGTGCTGTTTGTACATGTTATATAATGGATCAAACTAATAATAATACTGTTACATTTCATGCAGCTAAAATAACCGACACGAGAACACTATGTTGTTATGGTGTTTCAGTGAAGGAGAATGTCAAAATGTAGTCTTATTTAGGATTCATGCCTTTGTTTGAAACAGGGGAGATTGTTGTTTTAGAGATTAAATTTTGAATCGTACTTGAGAACATTAAACCTAATACTCAGAGTGCCACGCTTCTGATAACATCTGCTGCCCGGTCTGCACACTCATGGTAAAAGAAGATGGCATTCATCTTGTCAAATTCCACTGTCCTACTTTTCAACAAGTGTTGTTGGGCTCATGTTTCCATATTTTTAGTTGTGATTTTGATGACTGATTGTATTTAGTCATAAACAAATACTTTGACGTGTATAAATACAACTTATTTTTATTAGAAACTTTTTACAATTATTTTGTATACAATTTTTGGGTATAGGTAATGAAATTAATATCTCTTCCTCTGGAATAAATCAAGCCTGTGGCCTAAATAGACCACCTGTACAATTTACAAATGACAAAATTTACCAAGTTTTGATTGCTCTCTGACTTTCTATCCCAAACATTTGAATTTGAATTTAAAAAAAGTCACTACAATTTGTTCATATAGGGAAGTAGGACAGGTTGTCAAAGTGTTGTATATCAAACCATTTACTGGCACTGCCAGCAGCAACATTTTAAGTTCATGTTTCCACAAGCCACAGCACCTTTGCTCAGCACCAATTCCCGTATCCTCCTCAGCTCACAGGGCCTGGGGGTAAATATCTATAGTCAGCAGAGAGAGAGCTGTGCTTCAGCTGTTCAATGTCTTTACTTAAAGAAGTGTGGCCATCTTTATGTCAAGAACTGCATGCCCTCAAGGCATTTCTGTAACCATAGACATGAATGTATATGAAAATACAGACGCCCCTCTGACCTCCTCTAAGTAAACCTAAAGTTCATGATTATTCCTCCTTTAGGAAACTTCATTTAGGGACCCTGTGGAAATAAAAAAATAATCTTAAAGTTATTTATGTAAAGTAAATATGAAAACATTAATTAATAATTCATTAATAAGTCAGTATTATTAACCCTCTTAAATTATTAGCCCCCTGTATATTTTTCCCTCAATTTCTGTTTAACAGAGAAGATTTTCCAACACATTTCTAAATATAATAGCTAATAATTTCTAATAAATGATTTATTTTCTCTTTGCCATGATGACAGTACATAATATTTTACTACATATTATTTCAGCATACTAGTATTCAGCTAAAAGTGACATTAATAGACTTAACTGGGTTAATAAAAAAAAAAAGTTAGGCAAGTCATTGCACAACGATGGTTTGCTCTGTAGACAATCGAAAACAAATATAGCTTAAGGGGGCTAATAATATTAACCTTTTAATGTTTTTTTTTTTTTCAATGAAAAACTGCCTTTATTCAAGCCAAAATAAAACAAGGTGATGGGTGGTGCCCTACAGCTACACACAATGATAACAAAACAGGTCTAAATACATTTTAATTTAAGAAAATGCTTTTTTAGTTAACCACCAACCATTAAGCATGTCTTAAGCATGTGATTGTCAGGAAATTAATGAAATTAAAAGGGACAGTTTTTAATTGATAATTTAAGTCTTTGACAACCAGCAACTTGTTACTTGTTAAAGCAAATGTTAGCAAGCCCTGTAAAAGTTACACTTGCGTCAAGTCGCCTAAACTCTTCTGAAATGCAGTTATGCATAGCAGGTTCAGCATTCATAAATAATAGTAAACAATAAATATAGTCCCATCTGTTCTCTTCTTTTGAAACAACGCAAAAGTTGTATCTGAACTGCTCTCGTAGACATTTTGAATATCGCTCGAAATGACACAATGACTGTATTGAGCTTGTGCGTGGCACTATATTACAATACTGAGCTCTGATTGGTCAATCATTGTTGTTTAAAAGTCATAAATTACCATAAATACCCATATCCCCCTCAATTCAAGTAATGAGTATATGAATAAAATATTTTTTAGGTTCATTTTATTATTATTACTGTTGTTGCTGTTGTTATAATAGTTTCTTTATAATGCACTAACATTTCACAGTTTTATATTTTTAATGCAATAAATATAGTCTTTGTGAGCAAAATAAGCTGATTTTAAAACATTAAACAATCTTACTGATCCCAAGCTTTGGTTCTGTGTATTTGTGTGTGTGTGTATATGTGTGTGTGTGTGTGTGTGTGTGTGTGTGTGTGTGTGTGTGTGCGTGTGTGCGTGTGTGTGTGTGTGTGTGTGTGTGTGTGTGTGTGTGTGTGGGAGCGCATTCCATATGGTTTCTACCTGTGACAGGGTCTGTTGTTGATTCTGAATTTGTCCTGAAAAAGAAATACAAAACTCCTCTGAATCTATCAGACTTGTTCAAGCTCTTGATTAGGTTTTAAAATCTTTGCAAAAATGATTTCCAGACATAATATTCAAAAATATAGTTACTGCATATAGTTTAGTTTTTCCAGCTAATTTTATTTGACCTAAATACTGAATAATCCACAAGGCAAATTAAGAATTGAATTTATTTGCAGGTATGCAACTGCTACTCTTTGCTTTTCCCTAATTATTTGGTATTTGCAACCTAAAAAAAAATCTTATTTTGAGCGACATTATTATTATTTTTTTATTGTTAACAATTAATATTAATACTACTAATTCTACTAATTCTCAGGCTCAACTGTCAAACAAAATAACAACCACAGTGATACAGTTTGATTTTGTTAGCTCTTGTTCAATCAGTATGGAACAAAATCAATGCCTAAAGTCTTGAATTAAAAAGCTTGTTGAATATCACAGACTGAAAAAAATAGTACACCGTATTAACAAGTTCTTGCATTTTAATGACTTGAATTCCAGGGTTTGTATTTTTAGGTCCTGAAATTTAACATATCTGTTTATTTAAGCTTTGAATATTTCAACGAAAAATATTTCAAACACGTTTTCATACTTAAAAATTCAATAATTCATATTCAATTTTCAGATTTCACTTACGAAATATTCAATACCCTTTAAAATACGATGTATAATATTCAAATGGTAATTTTCAGTTCATTTTATTTCAGTTCAAATATTCGCTTCCATAAATTCAGTGGATCAAATTCGACTGTTAAAAATTCAACATTACATCCGGGAACTGCAGGAAAAGCAATAGATTGCAGATTAAAGATCGCCAGCTGCTCTAGCTTTCACCAGCAGGTGGAGATGGAATAATGTAAGATTTTTAACCCAGTAAACAGGCGAGAAAAAGGCTATTAAAGGCACAAAAGTAGCATTTAATATTAATATCAATGCTTTGGACATTATAAATGATAAAAAGTATGAGTAAAATGAGTAAATGAGGTTTTAGTCATCTATATTTGCCCTTATGTAACGGAAGCCAGCTGGTGATCGCGTAAATCTCAGTTCTCGGATCCAGTGACAGACGTTGTTCTGCAATCTTATCGGAGCTTGTCTCCCATGCCGGCTCGCTCCCTGCTCGGACCGGTGCAGTTACTTGCACATAAACTGTCTTTTGATGAATATGATGTTACACATTTTCTATCTTTATTGACTCTTTCTTCCATAGACGCGAAGTATTATATTGAAAGAATATAAACTTAAGAGAAACAGGAGAGGAAATATTATAATAATACAAAATAGATAAACATTGACAGGGCTAAGAACAATTACGAACAAAGATATTCAAAAGCAGAGAGATTTTATGAGAATGTCACACAAAACAGTTTACTTAGAACTGTTAAACAGTGTTCAGGTATGATTTAAGGTTGGTTGTGGATGGGGCGTCTGATTTAAAATAATTTAACAAAACGTGCGAATGCATTAAAGTGACGTCTTCAGTTATTATTTAAACGCAGCTATGTCAGGATTGGGATAGGTTATATAATTCCATTATTTAAATTATGATTGTTAATATTATTATTTTATGACATGTATTTGGGCTATTGCGCTTAAATAAGTCATCCGTGATTCTAAATTAATATTTCTATTTATCCTTTTTATCACTCTGCCTGTCTTTCTCTTCTTTTTTTCTAATTATTGGGGTTCTGCCACGGTTAAACGTTTGCAAAATGTCTTAGTTTGTCCAGAATATTGTTTTATTGTTATGTAGCCTATAGGCGAGAAAAATGTATTAACGCAAATGTGGCAATGTCGCAGCCAATGATAAGTAATAAAATGAGTCGCCTGTGGTTTGATAATAGGCAGTTATAACTGACTTTAATTTGTTTTCAGTATTAAATGAGAAAACCAATATTTATAACTTTTCAGCAACCGTTTGTATTTTATGATTAGCAATGTTGATCTTTTTTGCAGTTATTAAACATATAAACTTATTTAAACTGGTTTAAATTTAATATAGTTGTCACTTGAGCTAGTTTCATAAGATTAATGTTTAGAATGCATGGTTTGACATGCGTGGTTGAGGGGTTCCTGTAAAGCAGCTCTGTTCATCATTATGGAATCATTACTGAGCTGTAATCGCCATCTACTGGAGAGAATGTATTTGCTCATTTATTCTAATAACTCTTTTCGGCAAGTCTGTTTTATGATTTCACAAAGTCAAACAATTATGTTTTTATTTTATATTTTGAGATGATCATATTTAAATAAACAATTGCTAGGGTAGCTAAGTTTCTTTTTTCTTGTTTTAAAAAAAAATCAGTAGCCTATAAAATCATAATTTTTGCTTGACAAAGTTATTGGTTTAGGATTCTGGATGCATTTTTGCTAAATGAGTGTTGGATACTCTCACACTAGTTAAATCAATTATATTATCAGAAATGACAGATATAAGAAATCCATTAATATTCATCACTCTTTTTACAATTATACAAGCAATTTCGCGCCGACGTCAGCTCCACTTTCAGAAATGGTAAACAGCGAGGTGTTATTCATATAATCCCAAGCATGACATGTCATGATAATAATCGAAACACTCTTGTAGGCTATTATTCTTATGCTTGGCCAAATGTCATGACTTTCACTTTTATTTTACATTATTATGCACAAGCCCAGATATCATCTGAAACTTTGGAAGAATTTCTATCATATACTGGCAGCCATCCAGCATCTCTTAAGTTTGATATGCGGCTCTCTGACCGGCCACCGGAGCTCGCGGCCACTCGTTCGACTTTGTCGTGTGCAAGCCACACCGCACATGCAAAAAAACGTCAATC